AAATCAGCTCAAGCCTCCCCTAAATCACTCGTGTGACCACCCTCATTTCGAATCCCATCCCCTCTCCCCGCCCCCTGGGAAAACAGACGCTGCTCCGTGCAACGGTGAGTCCCTTGTGTATGCTCATCTCTCCCAACCAGCTCTTTGCTCCAGTTCCTTTTCCATCCTTCGCCTCTTATTTCCCATTCTTTCTCTCCTTTCTTCCCTTTCCCGTTACTTTTTTTTCCATGAGAAGGGAGGAAGGAACAGAACTGTCGGGATGACAGCGCTTCAATGAACACTGCTAAGCTTGGCAGCGTCTTTTAAGCTGGGTGGGAGGAGCAGAGCACCTTGACAAAGGAGTTTACATATCAACAGAAGATTTAGCATTGAAGTAGCTGTGTTAATGTGTTGGATTAGCAGGGTGTTAAAGTCAGAAATTAGCATGTAACTGGGAGATTAGCATGATAGTGTGAAGGATTAGCATGTAACTGGTCACGGAAGTAGCTATGTTAAAGTCATAGTTTACATATCAACAGAGGCATTTAGTATATTGCGCTAAAGAACTGCAACTACCCAACTATCATACAATAAGCCGATCTGAAAGAACTAAGTATAAACTACATCAATATAATAAATGTACTCAATATATTCTTCAATAAGTTGAGCTATTAACATAAAGTAACTGGGTATACACTACACTATATAATGAATACCATATAGTAAACTGATAAAAAAACTAAAATATAAACTACATCAATGTTATCAATAAACTCAATATACTCTCCAATCAGCTGAGCTACTAACAATAATTATACATTGCAATTATATGTCGGAAAAAGTGGCGGTTTCTTTTTTCTTTTCAACGTTAGCACCACGGAAAGCGACGAGCTTTGTTCAGACGGACGAGTCCATCTATGCTCGGAACGGAGGAGGGGGGAGAGAGAGAAACAGCCACGATGCGCTGCTCTGTCCTGTGTTGCGTTACAACTATGCTATAAACTAGACTACTATACACTGCAATGTTATACCTTCCAATCTAAACTACATTGTATAAATTTCGATTTAAAGCTTTCGTGACTGCAATGATTCATCTTCTTTGGTTCTTTCGGTAAAGTCACGTAGAATGAGAATAAAATAATAAATTGATAAAATAAAATAACACAATAATATTCTCACGACGTTTCGGCCACAACACAAGCGGCCTTCATCAGGTGAAGGGAGCGAGACTGTCTCGCTCCCTTCACCTGATGAAGGCCGCTTGTGTTGTGGCCGAAACGTCGTGAGAATATTATTGTGTTATTTTATTTTATCAATTTATTATTTTATTCTCATTCTACGTGACTTTACCGAAAGAACCAAAGAAGATGATACATTGTATAATATCGTATACACAGCCCAATGTAAGCTCTAACATGCATTATATTGATATGTCTCTAACTAAACTTTTTTCTACATTACACGACTATACACCGTAATATACACTGCCATAGACAAACCCCACCCTTGAATTATACAATGTGTTACTATACACTACCCTATACTTTAGAATATAAAATATTAGACTTGTAATATTACACTATGTATTATTCTACCAACCGTACTGTATACCACACTGCTGTTTAATCACTATACAATTACGATACTATATATTGCCTTATGAATTATGTTAAACATTACACTGTTATACTATTTATTATTATACAACATGCTATAAACCTTACCATTGACCGTCGTGTGAAAGGTATTAAGAGGCAGTGCCAGCGAAGGGACTGCGGTCTGAAAGTCACCGTAAAATGCAATCAATCAAGAACCGAAATGGTTTATAACGTCTTTCCAATGGTTACTAAGCCAGAATCCATCTTCTCGGTTGAAATTGTCTCTGTGTTTGTATATGTGGATGGCCTCATGAACGAATCTCTCATGGTAGCCGGATGGTGAACATGAAGCAGACTTGAAACACGGTAGGATGAACACCTCAGCCGTGGCAGATCACTGTTATAATTCAGTGGGCTCACATGACATTGACTTCTCCAAGACGGAGGTTCTCTGCAAGCCATTCGGCTACGTGTTTTATTAATTATTATTTTTGTCACTTAAAAAAATGATATATAACAGCAAATATTATTGTTAATCTTCATTTTGGAAAAGGCTCGATATCCAACAGTAGTTTATATTTTATTTTTTTAGCAGTTTACTGTATGGTATTCATTATATAGTGTAGTGTATACCCAGTTAGTTTATGTTAATAGCCCAGCTTATTGGAGAATATATTGAGTACATTGATTATATTGATGTAGTTTATATTTAGTTCTTTCACATCGGTTTATTGTATGATAATTGGGTAATTGCAGTTCTTTAGCGTCAATATCTAAATGCCTCTGTTATGTAAACTCTGACTTTAGCATAGCTACTTCCGTGACCAGTTACATGCTAATCCCTCACACTAACATCATGCTAATCTCCCAGTTGCATGCTAATTTCTGACTTTAACATCCTGCTAATCCAACACATTAACACAGCTACTTCAATGCTAAATTCTTCTGTTGATATGTAAACTCCTTTGTCAAGGCGATTTGCTTCTCCCACCCGGCTTAAAAGACGCTGCCAAGCTTAGCAGTATTCATTGAAGCACTGTCGTCCCGACAGTTCTGTTCCTTCAGCTGAAGAAGGCTACTTGTGTTGTGGCTGAAATGCCGTGAGAATTTTATTTTATTATGTTTTATTTTTATTATTTTATTGTTTCCCTTCTACGTGACTTTACCGAAAGAACCAAGAAGATGAATCCCTGCAGTCACGAAAGCTTTAAATCGAAACTTACACGTCTATTTAGGGCCTTCATTGGATTTAATGATCGAACTTTGCCTCGTTTTACAACTCGTTGAATTGTTTTTCATTTGTGTCAGTCCCATGTGTTATACTGTCTTGTGTCCAACAATACCAGACATGTACTATGTCTGTCAGTGGCGGGCCGTGTATTTTACACCTAGGTCTTCAGTGCTATCCTCCCGCAATTAAACCGCCTTCGAATAACCTCACCATGACATTAGGGCTATAGGCAGTTGTCATTCGACGTAACCACCCCATATTCACAGTGACATTAACCTTTACGAAGTGGAATAAAGTGATTTAACATGAGGCTCAACACCTATGAGAGTTACAATACACTAATTGCAGAGACATGAATACATGGTGACTGAAACCATCAAGGATGTACCATTATTACGCAGTATTACAGGATGCTGCATCACAAATAGACATCGCATAGCCCAAATCAATGTCATTGCCAAAGAAACAAGAACAAACTCACAACAACCAGTCACATTTACTCATACGACCACCAAGCAAGCAAAAATGCCGTAATAGACAAATAACACAATCAGGATTCAACAGGCTTCCCCACAAAAAACAATCTAAAGCACTACATCTAAAAATCTAAACGCCACGAAAGAAAGTTTAAATAAATCTTAGATGATGCTACGTTACGTGCTAGCTAGTTTTACTTCAGTTAGCTAACTGGCCCTCCGATCCTGCCACACGACCAAGGCTAACGTAGGCGGCTCGGCCAGCTAGAAGGCTCCGGCGTGTCAAAGAACACGCCCACCATAGCAAACTCGAAATCTGATTGGTTAAAGAATGACAATCAACAACATCGTCCCCATTTGCTTCAACAGCAGAGGGGATTCACTCGAAATTCTGAAGGCCTCTGGGTAGATTTTTCACCCGGAGAGGCAGAGACAGCACAGGCGGTACATCTGATTGGATAATAGCTGTAATCCATGAGCTGCACTGGAAGCAGCGCAACTTGAGGGATAGAGTTGCAATGAATTGACGTGAATAGGGGCCGTCCATAAATGACGTCACGCGATTTTGGACGATTTTTGACCCCCCCCCCCCTTCGTCACACGACGTCACAAAAAGTCAGACCCCCCTCAAATATGACGTCACAAAGCTCTGCCCCCCCCCCCCCCCCAAAATAAAACATGCTTCAAATCGCTTTAAACTATTGTCATTGTAGTGCGTATTTAATATTTAATGTGGCGCTGCACTCTGATGTAGGAAAAACATTTATTAAAAAGTCTATTTAATTAAGTAGAACGTGTTGTCTATATTTATTTAAAGTTGCACATTTTGATGTGACGTCACATTTATAAACCCCCCCCCCCCTCGTCACAAATGTCTGACCCCCCCCCCCCCCAGGTGCGTGACGTCATTTATGGACGGCCCCATAGACTGATGGGAACGAACTTTGTAAAATACATATAGCATTATACTGGAAAGAACGAAGTTGTAAACTGAGTGTACCAGCCTGCAATAGATGAATGTGTCCGTCCGTCGGTCCCCTTTCAATACTTTAACGAAGTGAAATCTCGTGCTGTTGGGTGTAAAATCAGCAATGGACAGCGCAGAGACTTGATACGTCTTATTGCACCCAACATTTGGAAGTCACATTATCTCATTTGCGAACTTCTACCAGCCCACCCTGCAGGGACCTGTTATTCTTGGTTCTTTCGGTAAAGTCACGTAGAAGGGAAACAATAAAATAATTAAAACAAATAAAACAATATAGCATTAACGACAATAAATGTTCAAATTTTGATTTAAAGCTTTCGTGACTGCAGTAATTCATATTCTTTGGTTCTTTCGGTAAAGTCACGTAGAATGAGAATAAAATAATAAATTGATAAAATAAAATAACACAATAATATTCTCACGACGTTTATCAATTTATTATTTTATTCTCATTCTACGTGACTTTACCGAAAGAACCAAAGAAGATGAATATGAATAAATGTTCAATTACAAAAAAAAATAATTCTGAGTCTGATAATCTCTCGTCCGGCAGAGCAGAAGGCCTTGCTGGGCCCGACGCCTCTGATTGTCTGGCATGAGTGAGACTCGAACCCGTGGTGGTGGTGGCGGTGGTGGCTCCTTCTGTGGGGGGTGGGAGAAGGGGGGGGAGACTCACGGCCCCTCCCCTCGGCAACTCGGAATCGATTAGGCGGAATCGCCCACGCATCTAATCTAAACGGCTCGGCGAATCGATTCGTTGGCGCTTGGCTTCGTTTCCTGATCACGCCGGGCCGCCGCCGCCTGTTGCGCGTGGAGCGGCGTGAAATATGGTGAGTGACATTTGTTTGATCTCTTCGTTAGTTTTCTCTTTATTCTGGGTTATTTTTCCCCCGTCACTGTTAAAAGGCGATTGTTTATTTGTTTATGTGTTGGTGCATCGTCACTTTAATGCGACGACGGCGCGTCCATTAAAGCTCGTCCTGTACTGATGTGAAGCTTTGGTGACCGCAGGAATCCGCACGTGACTTTATTGAACTCCTCCTGCGTGCCAGGATGCACTGAGACCCGGGCACTGGAATGTGGAGTTTAGCTGAGCTTCGTATGAAGCGCGACATCAGTTGACACCGTGCGGTTCGCAGTGGGATGACCGGGCCCCCGGCATACGAACGTGCAATGCAATACCGCGCATCAAAAGAGGCAAGGCAGACGATGTTTTTGTCGATGTCGTTAACGAAATGAGACGATGCCTTCGTGCCGGGAGCATCCCGTGAACTACGAACCTCATTTTTAACAGATGTCCAGCAACGCTTATGCGGTCCGCGTCATAGGAACGTGGAATTTAACACCAATGAGCGTGCAAATCCACAATGAACTCGTAGGGGGTTGTTTGACCATACTTCACCACGCCCGTCAGCTCGGATTGGTGTGGTTGTGGGGTTTCCATGTCGCTCGCCACTGATGTGAGCCGTGATCGGGAATAGAATTCACGTTCTGTAGGGTTTAGAGCGCAGTGCGCTAACCGCAGCGCCACCGCTCCCCCGACAATGCTTCAGTGTTGGTGAATATGGCTGGGCTCGCTCCTGTCTTGCTGATGTGCTGTGTCATGTAACTCAGTTGAGCGTCTGCTGCGGTGGGCTCGATCCACACTGCCACGACGAAGATTCACTCTGCACTGTTCAGACGACGTCTCCGGAGCAAGTGATGTTCAGATTCCACGTTTCTGTGACGGCGCCAAGTATTACCCTCAGACGCTGCTGACAATCGCTGAACAACAACAAGTATCAGTTCCCGTCGAAGTGACGAAACCGAGTTTCACTTTTAACGGAGACTCGTGACTGCGTTTGAACCCTGACACTACTAACACTCGCCCTGACACTACTAACACTCGCCCTGACACTACTAACACTCGCCCTGACACTACTAACACTCACCCTGACACTACTAACACTCACCCTGACACTAACACTCACCCTGACACTACTAACACTCGCCCTGACACTAACACTCGCCCTGACACTACTAACACTCGCCCTGACACTACTAACACTCGCCCACACATGACTAACACTCACCCTGACACTAACACTCACCCTGACACTAACACTCACCCTGACACTACTAACACTCACCCTGACACTACTAACACTCACCCTGACACTACTAACACTCGCCCTGACACTACTAACACTCGCCCTGACACTAACACTCACCCTGACACTAACACTCGCCCTGACACTAACACTCGCCCTGACACTACTAACACTCGCCCTGACCCTACTAACACTCGCCCTGAGACTACTAACACTCACCCTGACACTACTAACACTTGCCCTGACACTACTAACACTCGCTCTGACACTAACACTCGCCCTGACACTACTAACACTCGCCCTGACACTACTAACACTCGCCCTGACACTAACACTCGCCCTGACACTACTAACACTCGCCCTGACCCTACTAACACTCGCCCTGACACTACTAACACTCACCCTGACACTACTAACACTCACCCTGACACTAACACTCGCTCTGACACTACTAACACTCACCCTGACACTACTAACACTTGCCCTGACACTACTAACACTCGCTATGACACCACTAACACTCGCCCACACATGACTAACACTCGCCCTGATACTACTAACACTCGCCCTGACACTACTAACACTCGCCCTGACACTACTAACACTCGCCCTGACCCTACTAACACTCGCCCTGACACTACTAACACTCGCCCTGACACTACTAACACTCGCCCTGACACTACTAACACTCGCCCTGACACTACTAACACTCGCCCTGACACTACTAACACTCGCCCTGACACTACTAACACTCGCCCTGACACTACTAACACTCGCCCTGACACTACTAACACTCGCCCTGACACTACTAACACTCGCCCTGACACTACTAACACTCGCCCTGACACTACTAACACTCGCCCTGACACTACTAACACGAGCAATAACCCCAGCGTCAACGCGAGCCCTAACACCAATACAGACTCTGGACCTTGAAACTCGTAGTAGCTGCCGCCTTACCTTTACTGCTCCACACAAGCAATCAATTCCTATGATCACTGTTACATTGTTTTTATAGCCTTATTTTGGTGATTTGGAAAACGTTTTGGTTTAGCCATGTTTGTTTGTTGTAGTAGAGAGTTAGCCTGATAACTTTAGTCTACATTGTCGTATGGTTGTTATTGTTTGATTTGCATCCCACTGGGATTTTTGCACACAGCGTCGAAGTACGGTGTTTTTTCTGGAAGACTTTGCTGTTTTTTCCTGGATTGTTCTGTTGCGTGTAGTCACTTTAAGATGTTTCTTGTTCATGTTTTTGTTTTGTTGCGGTTGCACTGAGTCAAGAGCCGCATGGCTCACAGGGTTATACCTCTCCATATATATAAAAGGCAAAGTTGTGATTATGTGTGTCTGTTCAAAATGTTTAGCGTACTTCCCGACATGCAACAAATTTGACATTTGCCATGTGGGTACTTTCCAGACTGTACACCATGCAAAAATTATAAAAATACACTTTTTTGGGGGGGGAGGGGGGGAGCTCAATAATGAATATATTTTTTGCACGGCAAGTGAGCCTTGACGTCAAATCTGTCACGTGACCCTCGCATGTGGAAGCGTAACGCATTGTAGTGTAGCGGTTAGCACGCTGTGTATGTGTCTCTGTGTCTGTGTGTGTCTGTGTGTGTGTCTGTGTATGTGTCTGTGTGTGTCTGTGTGTGTGTCTGTGTGTCTGTGTATGTGTCTGTGTGTGTGGAAGCGTAACGCATTGTAGTGTAGTGGTTAGCGCGCTGCGCTACGAACCCGGCGACCCGAGTTCGATTCCCGCTCACGGCCACCACCGGTGACGATTATTTCAACCGCTCCTGGGCCTCCCTTAGGTCGACTCATCCTCAAACGAGTAACTGCTGTGGTGTGTGAATATCGCCACTGGGGAGACAAAGGCGGCCGGGCGTGGTGGATCAAAGTCCCGGGGAAGCCGGGTAGTAAAGCTAGTACCTAATAAATGAAAATGAAACTGAAGCGAGCCATCACACTGGCACAAGCACTAGTCTGACCACAACATAAAATCTACCCCTAGCACTCGCCCTCACGGGCACACAAGGCCAACCCGCAACATTGACTACAACAAGCCGAGCACTAGGCCTGCTGTATATGATGATGATAATGGTTGATGATGGAGATATTGGTGGTGTTGGTGGTGATTATAGTGTTCATGGTTATATATGATGATAATCGGTTATAGTGATAATAATAATAAGGATGATGGTGATAGCTGATTATGTTAATTCAAGACGTTGATGACAATGGTGATGATGGTAATTTTGGAAGTAAAATTGTTTATGGTTATATATATGATCATATCTTATTATAATGATGATGAAGTTGGTGATGGTGCTAATGGTGAAGGTGATGGCACATTGTGATGACGATGGTGGAATTTGCGATGCCGTTGAAGATAGTGATGTTGGTGGTGATGATGATTTGTCTAGGATGGATCGATGTCTCTGGTGGTTTTCCTGCTCTTCTCGATGACGGGAACCACATGGTGTCAAGTCTCCTGCCTCAATGGGGAGGGGAAATCTGTGGATTGGTATGTGCCTCCCACCTGCACACACTCTCTACAGAGACACTCGGCTTCACGAGACGGGGTCTCAGGACCGGAGTCTTGATTGAGACTCAACTCTAGGAGACTGGGTATCATCAAGATTAGGGCCTGTATTGAGACTCGACTGCAGAAGACCGAGTCTCGAGATCAGAGTACTGACACTTGGATGTTAGGAGACCAGGCTTTGTGGTTCTATTTCCAGAAACAAATGTCATGTTACAGCACATGGCCAGGATTTGAATTCAAAACTTTCTGATCATAGTTACATGCTGCGTTATCTATTTTAAAGTGATTTGCATTTTGCAGAGAGAGGGGAAGTCGGTCATGGCCAGAGGAAAATGGAAGGGTCTTGAGCCTGGACTTGGGCATGGGCAGGAACTTTGAGGGAGTTCCAGTCTATGGGGGGGGGTAGCAGATGCAAAATAGTTGTAGTTATTCTCTTGTACTCCACCTGACAAGAAAAGGGAACATTCCGCTTAATGTGCGGCAACCCATCGGCCACATGTATTCAGGCTCGCAGCCATGAGACCCTGCTGCAGGTGAACTGTTAATGTGTGACCTTATCAAAGGAATTTGAAACTCCCGATTCAGACCTGAAAGCATAGCACCGATTCCTATGTTTCACTGCACATGCGAGCCAGTCCCGAGCTGTTGTTGTATATATTGTGTTTTGAAGAAAAAAAGAAAAATTTAATGATTTTTTTTTATTAAATTACGCAAATGTTAGAAATTATGCAAATGAATGCAGTTATGCAAATTATGCTCAGCTTCATTGTCTAAGGTTGTATTACCAATGGTGATAATACAATGATTCGCGCTTAACTTTTACTGATCATGATTTTAGTGTAATTATGTCCGGTCTCAGGATTTAGATCTCGCCGCAGGATACAGTTCTTATAATTAAGATTATTATGGATGAACTTAGGAAGGAACCACTCAGACTCTTCTATGTTAAGCAACTTTAATATCTAAAAACTCTCTAATATGCGAACACACTTATGATCGGAATTGCCACGACAGTACTCCTGTCGATGTCCTACTCATTCATCCGTACAATTAACCCTCAATGGTTACGTTGTTAAAACTGAGCAATAGAACAATAGGCTAACTCCTCAGAGTAGCATGACCATACACGACCATTTGAAAAGTCCTTAAAAATGACTATTCATACGGAACCGTGCTAAATAAACGTGTGCGCCCAATGGCAAAAGTAGACATCAATTAATTCATTGGTAAGATTATACAATTAAAGAAATGTCCCGAAACAATAGTGTACTTGCGTGTTTGTAGGTTTGGCTAACAGATGCCTATATATTTTATTATTTTATTGCTTCCCTTCAACGTGACTTTACCGAAAGAGCTAAGAAGATGCTTATCAATTGGCTAATGGGACGTCAATGAATTAGCGGGCAAGATTCTGTGATCAAAATAAATATTTCCAGACAATAGTATTCGTGTGAGTGTGTAGATTCGTAACATAGATGCTTATAAATGTTTAGTGTGTCAACAATGAATTAATTTTTCGATTTAAAGCTTTCGTGACTGCAGGGATTTATATTCTTGGTTCTTTTGGTAAAGTCACGTAGAAGGGAAACAATAAAATAATATAAAATAATGAAAATAGAAAATAAATTGTATTGTTTTATATTTATTATTTTCTTATTTCCCTTCTACGTGACTTTACCGAAAGAACCAAGAAACATGAATTCATTGGTAAGGTTATGCGATAAAAGAAAACTAATGACTAAAATGCTTCTAAACGACTGTATACATGCAACTCAAGGGACAGAACAATGCTTACGATTAGCTAATGGTTAACACACCACCTTGGGATGGCAACCCTTTTAGAAACACAAACATACTTCTTGGCACAATCTTATTCGTACCGATATGCGCGTTGTGTGTGTGTGTGGCAGGGCAGTCACCACGAGGTCCACTTATTATAGTGGTTCTGACCAGTCAGTGGCTGGTGCGGCGTTCCTTGTACTGAAAATACCTCGGCTCCCCAGCAGGGCCGCTGGGTCGGCGTGTGCATGTGTGTCGAACACACGGCGCTCTCGGCTGCGCCATCAGTCTCCCTCCACCTGAGCCGGCACGCTGCTCACGTTGGCGGCGGTGGCCGTGCTAGCAGGGATGATGGGTCCGGCTCCGTCTGCGTCGATGTGCGCGATGATCCCGTCGCCAGATAGCGCTCGCAGCTCGTCCGCTGGGCTGCAGCGCGTCACCCCCCTTGGCACCAGACACTGCTGATCCTTGAGCTCGACATTTGCTGGAGTGTGCTCGGGGCTTGCGAGTCAGCACGCTCGTGCTTAGTCGTTTGCCGCTGCGCTGCTGGTCCTGTGAGTAGCAGCTGGCTTTGCGCGACCACCCTTGGTGCCCCCCCCCCTTTTTCCAGGAGGGCTGTTGCTGGGAGCTGCTCGTTGCTGCTCCTCACTCACTCTCCAAAACTCATAAAATGTGTTCGCACACCTCTTAGCGTCTCACAACTCTTATAGTTTAGTACAATGCAACTTCTGGCAGTCCTTGACTCTGCAAGCGACTCAAAACATAAGGATAAGTGTAGAATAAACTTTCAGCGATACTCCGTCTGTCAGCGCCGAACTCAACACTGAGCATCACATCAACCCCTCTCTGCAAGACTCGACACCATGGTTCATTTCGAGGACCATACCCCGGAGCTTGCCATTGCAAGACTGATTTGGGTGGTTCGGCTTCTTTGTTATATCCGAAATGTTTTGCCTCCGTCTCGTCTTCTCACAAAGGACCGGAAGTCCTTTGGTTTCGCTCCTCGGCCTGTGATTTGTCGGTTTCCTCTCACGACGGAACAACTGTCCTTTTGATTGTGACCGTTGGTCCAGTGTACGTGTGTGTGTGTCTGTCTTTGTCTAAACTATTGAAGTAATTTCCTAAGTCACATTCAGGTCCGGCCCCCCTCTCACCTTCCTCCAGTCATCTCATAGCCTGTGGACACAGATACTCTCAATTGCCCCAAAGTGTAGTTATTCCAGTTTTACAACTTTCCGCAGTAATTAACCTCCACATGTATTTTGTGTGGGCGAGGCAGGGGGGGGGGGTCCTTTTGGCCTTTTGTTGTCTCGAGAGAGGAGTTCGCAGGTATGCGTTACTGCATTTTTTCTTGGAACTCGCTGAATCCATATATATAAGAAAATCGATTACATAAAAAATAGGCAATATCACTCTAAATATATGTTTTTGGAAGATGCATATATACATCACTGTTCAAGAGGTGCCAGTTTTGTGTTCCACTGCAGTCGAGATGTATATAGACGATTCACTGACATCACACGCATGTCATTAGCACCGCCTCTGGCCTTTCTTGGTCCCGGGCTATTTTCAGATGTGTTGTGAGGCTGGCATATCACGGTTTGGTTCTGGGTCAGCTCCGTAAATAGCCAATTTAAAACCACCCATACAGCGAGGGCCCCCGGCTTGGCTCGGATGTGCCAGTGTAAAATAGGTTTTGAATACTGACTCAATGTCCAAAGGTACCCATGATGGAGTTCCGTGTGCTGCATCCCCACCCTTCCCCATCCACATCTCGCAGGTTCATAGTCTACAAGCTGCCAAAGGGAAAAGATTACCTCTACTTGGACAAATCAACGCAGAGCTGGCAGAATGCCCAAGTTGATGTCGATAGCAATTCCAGCCCTGTTTACCAGACGGTCAACCAGCTCTACGACGGGAACGCGACCGAGGTGAGACCCAAACAGCGCCAACGCGAGGCCCAAATACTTATCAAGGCGAGGCCCTAACACCGCCACCAAGATGATTAATTATGAGTGGCTAGATCTATAACCTGAAAACCATCAAAGGTCATCCTTGTGAACAAGACCATGCTTACATGTTTGTCGTAATGGACTGTTTCCATCCCCCTTGGTGAAAAAAGTTTGAGATTTTTTCAGTTTGGATGACAGAATTGGTCGAACATCTCAGCGCAGTGCCATCCTGAAAATATGCATTGAGAGTCTCCCGTAAGATGTCATCAACACGATCAAAGCTATTGCAAAGTGAGGCCTGAAAACCCACCAAGGTGTGACTGACCTCTTGTCCCCAACCTCAGTCCATGGCTGCTCAGCTGTTGTGCAAAAACCATCCCCTGCATCCCCCACACATGCTCTCTCAGCGAGCACTGTTCCCCAGACGTGACGGCGAGGGGACATTCCGATTCGCATCTTGGAACAAAAACAAACGCGACCAAAACCTCATCGACTTGGCGGTTTGCTCCTGAGTTGGCGATTAGGAGGCACAGGAAGATTTTCACCAGAAAGGCAAACAAAAGGAATTGCTAGCGTGATTCGGCCCGATTGGCAAGTGGCTGTGACGCGATGCTGTTTTTATCCTGAGCGCGTCAAGTATAATGATGATGATGATAATAAGGTTTAGTTACATACAGCGTCGTCATTATTCATGCAATTTGCATGTCATAATCTCTTGAGAAACCACAGACAAGTTGGAAATCAACAGCCAGACAGTGAGCCAGCTCTACCAACAATTGCCTGAGCTCTGCAGTCCTCTAGATATTAAGATATTTTAGCCGTACAGATAGGAAAGATCAGAATCAGAATATGTAAATATACTGGAAACATCTGATGAGCTATAAAGCTATTTTTCACAGATGTCCAGTAGGGGCGGGTAAGAAAGTTACAACAACAAACAATACAAAAACAGGATTGTAGTGCAAGGTTCAACAAAGCTAAACAAATCACCCAAAACACGTTCAAATAAAACGAAACCATCCCCATCCTACCAGGCAAAGCCCACTAAGGTATTAACTTATTTTTCAGAAGCGACCTGGCCACAAATGATAGGTCAGCAAAGTGACCAATTACTTGTATATTTATCACGGCAAAACAATTAAAATAATCTCAATGCATGTTTCTGAATGTGGAGGGGAAGGCAGTCATGGCCAGAGGCAAAGATGATCTTATGATATTATATTTGCAGTGTCCTTTATGAGCCTCTCCTCGTCGCGTTCCTTGTGACGCCCGCTCGTTGTCGTGTGGCGTACAGGCCGGCGACGTCGCCTTCGTTCTCTATAACGATGAACCACCCAACTCCCCTCACTACGACAGCATCTGCGGCCACACCAAAGGTGGGGGCCCGCATCACGCTGTCCCTTGCACCCCGCCCGCCCTCGTGTTTCACAGATGGTGGGGCGGGGGGGGGACTTGAGTTCGGAAGGGCATTGTCGAATGCTGGGGAGGGGGGGGGGGAGCATTGTGGTTACGTGAATAGCTGTTGCCTCGGTTTGGTTGACGAGTGTGGGACAGAACTAGGGCTGGGCTAGCATCTAGTTGGCTAGTGCATTTAGGTTATGGCTACTACTAGGGTTTAATTGGCTGGTGTGATAGGATTTGAGGCAGAGCTATTTCTGAGCTTTTGTTGGTTGGTTGGTTGTGGTTCGGGAAATACATTTGGCTGCTGTTACGATCTGGTTGGCTATTGCAGTGTGGATGAGGGCTCAGGTTTTAGTTTTGTTGGTTACTTTTGTTAAGTGTTAGGATCATGGATAGAGCCATATCCCTACATGCCACACGTGGGCAATTTGGCTCCTTGCTTCCTCTTGGTTGATCTTTACCCCCCGGGTGTTCTGTGATCGAGAACCTCTTTGGTGCAGGAGGAGGAGGCCGAGAGGGCAGTCACAGGTCTCGTGGCTGCATCAGATTGACCGTGACTGCCAAGACTTGAGATTGGAGGGGAGCTCGTATGGAGGCTCCGCCAGGAGGGACTCCTGGGAAGGTCGCTCATTTGGACAATTTCCAAGGAAGGAGGGACTGTAGGAGCTGGCGCCAGAGGTTGGATGGTGGTTTATTCTGTTTCGGTGTTAGCTCCCACCCTTGGGCGGGTAATGGTGGCTGTGAACGCCTGTGATCCAGCACTGTCGAGGCGGCGAGGGTTGGTGGATTATACACATATCTTCAAACTCCCTTCCCGTGGATAAGGAGGTGCCGTACCCTGGCTAGCCAGAAGACGGCAGTACAGCAAGTGGACTAATCTCCATCTGTTTCCATCTGTATGGGATAGATTATTGCCCCCTTGCACGCTTGGTTTTCTCTGGGTGCTCTGGTTTCCTCAGACATGTAATCACCAAGTAATCGTTTGATATTGCATTAATAGGACCACAGAGCTTGGGGGAGGCAAGGGGGCGGTGGGAATTTGGCACCGGCTCACCACGTGACTGCCTTTCTCACTGGTCCGGGGTTCCTCTTGCCTCCGGGTCATTCTCTCTCTTCGTGAGTGGGCGAAACACTCTGCGGCGCATCACAATTGTAAACTATTACATAATTATTATTGCTGTTTTTCCATGAGGGTCGGGGCTAGGTCTGGTGTCACAGTAAGGACTCGTGTCCTCCACCACAAGCAGTTTGCCCCTGGCCCCCTTTCTCCCACGTATGGCATTGCCCCTGTGGTGGTCACGCGCCGGCCGCTGACGCCGCTGCCCCTGCTGCCCCTTCCCCTGTGCAGGCGTCGTGATGCTGGACGGGACGGGCGGCTTCTGGCTCGTGCACAGCACGCCGCACTTCCCGCCGTCGGTGCCGGGGCCGTTTGCGTGGCCCCACACGGCGCTGCGCTATGGCCAGTCCTTCCTGTGCGTCTCCTACGGTTTCGACCAGTTCGGCGACATCGGTGGGCGCGCTGCGTTACGCACGCACAACTACAACGATTCTATTCTATTTTGTATTCATAAAGTGCCTTTCACCAAGACGTTTAACAATGCCTGTTGACTATAGTACAAAATGGGAAGATAAGGGATGGGGATCAGGTAGTGACTAGGGTGGAGGTAGCGAGGTGGAGGCTGCGGCAGTGGTGGCATTAAGGGCGTTAGGCAAGACGCCACGTGAAGTGTCGAAGGTGCCATGGGTTGACTGGCTGAGATGACTGGCAGTTAGATGCGCCAGCTGTGCCCCCTACTGGTCCAACTGCGCCATAGTTACGCACACAAATATACAAAGACAAAGATCCCCCATGTAGCCTTAACAGACTGTAGGGACAAGTGCTGTTAGCGAGCACCTATGAAGGCCGGAACGGTACACGAGGGGGTGGGTGGCCAGCACCACGCCCGACCGCCTTTGTCTCCCTAGTGGTAATGTCTCCTACGGTTTCGACCATTGCACCAGGTACTCATTTGAGGCTGAGTCGACCTAGGGGAGGCCCGGGACCGGTTCAGATAATCGTCACTGGTGTTGGCCGTGAGCTGGAATCGAACCCGGGTCGCCGGGTTCATAGCGCAGCGCGCTAACCGCTACACTACCGCTCCCCACACGCACAGAGACATATTCCTGCATGTAGCCGGTAGGTGGTGTTAGCGAGCATCTGTGATGGAGGGCACGGCGCACGAGAGAAGTTAGCGTGACCAGCATCTCGCGTGACCAAGCTGCCTTTATCTTCCCAGTGTTTCCCACCATGTTTTGTAGCCCCGCAGCATACAACACCAATTATGAACAGTGGCCATCCATCCATGCGCTATCCAGGCTCAACGCTGCTTATCTCCTGAGAGTTTGGAGAGAAGCGAGTAGCTTGACGAACTTGCGAGGGTTATCTCTGAGTAATGGGTACAGACTGCTATAACAAACGCTTATTTCGCTGGCTTGGTCATAGGCTTCTCACGTACATGTGTGATGGTAACATTGATGATGCTTATAATAATAGGGCTATCGGTGATGACGTCGATAATGACGGCGAAGATGACGATAGTGGCGCTGACATGAAAATTCTGATATTGATAGTGACAATGATGGTGACGATGATGACGATGATGACGTTGATGACGATAATGACGCAGCGACATCATTTATCACAGCCCTGCAGCTGCGCTACAACGAGCCAGACCACTACAGCTGCCAGGTCGGGGCCCAGCTCAAGGACAAGTTGCCCGACCTGCAGGCGCTCTGCGCCAAAACAAAACTGCAGGTGGAGTCCGCGACGCGCGTTGTCGAGCTCACCTCCTCCGCCGGGAAAACCTTCCGCAGCTTCGCCAAGACACACCGCTTCGACGACGGTGAGTCGCGTCGTCGTCCGTCGTGCACGCACTCGCCGGTCCACATACAGGCTCGCTTGTTGCACTGGCTTGGCCACCCCCCCCTCTCCCCGTGCAGCTTGTAGTCACGCCCGGGCTTGTAGTCTGCCTTGGAGAGGGTTCAAGTTTATTTTGTTTAACCCGGTGAGAAATCATCATCGGCGGCAGTCACCTGGGTGATATATACAAATGATGGCAGCAGAAGGGATATAATGCAAACAACACAGTACAGCGATGAATAAAATAGAAGTTGAAGCAAACACAACCAAATAGAAATGAGAGTAAAAACAACATTGTTTCAATGGAAATGGAAAACGGTGCTGAAACACAATTAATAATAAATACAATTAATTTCCCATAACAAAAGTTTGCCTCGGACAAATTACGTTTAAAAAAAACTCTCATAGTAAAACTACGTTACAGAAACATCAACGTAGACTTGGGATGATTATTGCACGATTGTGTAAACAGGTACATGATTTGTGTCAAATACAACTGCAAGTGAATTTATAATCAAGAATCGACAGCTTGACATCAAGTTGTAATTCTGATGGAAGAGTGTGGGCGATTCTCAGTTGTGATGCTGCTGCTGGTGGTGGGCAGTCTCTTTATAGAATGAATTATTTTACATATTTTCTTATCCCACAACTATTATGATATGGATACAGGATGCTTAAATGTCTGTGCAATTCAAAGAGCATTGCATAACATCTCATTTCAATTACTCTAGTGCCCCAGAAGCAACTCTCCCCTCCGCAGCACAAGTTGAACACAGCACCGTTCTGCATATGGGTAGGGCATAATGATGATAGGCTGAGTCAAACTCCGGAATGGGATTTCAACTCGAGATCCTTCAGTAGTGAATCGAGGGCTTGCTGTGACTAGCTAATGCCCCTCTTATGCTGACCTGCTTATAATTGCCTCTCCATGTGTGCACACGTCAGACCTAGTACGTGGAAGTGTTGGCATCTAAGCCCAAAAGCTTAAACCGCCTCCCCGTGCGTACGTGTGTGTACGCTCGCGTGTGTGGGGGGTGGCAGTGCAACGGTTAGCGAGTCGCACTACGAACTCGGCGACCCGAGTTCAATTCCCACTCAGGGCCTTAATTGGTGTTCACTAACAGCACTTTCCCCAATAGTCTTCTTCAAGGCTATATGGGGAATCTTGTGTATGTGTTGGCCGTCTGGGTGTGGGGAGCAGTAGTGCAGAAATTAGTGTACTGCCCTATGAACCCAGTGACCCGAGTTCAATTCCCACTCACTACCAACACCAGTGACAATTATCTGAACCGGTCCTGAACCTAGGTCGACTGAAACCTCAACTGATTACCTGGTGCGGTGCGTAAATATCGCCGCTGCGGAGACAAAGGCGGCCGGGCGTGGTGTTGGCCACCTACCCCCTCGTGTGCCATGCCGGCCTTGATATTTGCTCGTTTAACAGCACTCGCCCAAACAGTCTGTTGAAGGCGATTTTGGAGATCTTTGTCTTTGTGCGTGCGTCAGATCTGTACGTTCACTTGGTGGCGCCCAACCTCAAGAGCAGCCTCTACCTGGAATCGTGGGTCCACGGCGTCGGGGTGTTCGACTCAAACTGCTCGGGCGAGTTCTGCGTTTGCCGCGTCTCTTCCATCTCCCTGCCGAGCGTTGCCCCTTTCTCCTCTGAGGAGGACCACTCCAAGTGGTGTGTGTCGCAGACGGGCGGGTCCCCCGGCGGGGCCTGGGCCTGCGTGGGTGACATCAACCGTAATCGCGGCGAGGAGTACCGGGGGGGCGGAACGGTGTGCACCGATGACCCCGCCATCTGGGCCGCCTTTGCCAAGGCCACGACCAGCGTGGAGCCCTGCCCTGCTGGGCCGCGAGACAAGAACAACAACAGGGGGTCCTGTGACTGTGCTGTGCCCGCATGCCGTGGCGGCTACGTTGGCTTGCCTGGCTTGTAGGGGTCATGAGGAGGGTAAAGGGGTTAACGCAGAGTATGAAGTGCATAACGCTCTTAACGCGGAGACTCCCTGATTAGCTTCATTAACTTGCGAGGGTTATCTCAGAGTAATGGGTAGAGACTGCTATAACAAACACTTATTTCGCTGGCTTGCCTAGATCGTAGTAGTGAACACAGCATTTGGTGTGCATCGCCATACGACTAGAGACTCTTTGCCTGGCTCGTAGGGGTTAACACTCACGGGTACTCACTGCTACGGGGTCTTGAATGAGCACCACTGTAACATAGAGACTAGGCACTGGCTTGCCTCGATTCTAAGGGTTAACAGTGATGGGTACGTGCCACTATAGCAAAGGACTTCCCTGTTGCACTGGCTTGCCTGGCATGTAGAAGTTGTAAGGGTTGAGAGTTTAATTATTTGACACAGTCTTAGGTGTTTGATGCTGTATTACTGAAACTCTGTTAATGGGAATGGGTTGACTAACTTTTAAGGGTTAACACTGATAAATAGGCACTCACTGCTACTTTGCAGAGGCTTCATTATTGTGCTGGGATTGCCTGGCTTGTAAGAATTAACACAGGGTGTTGGGTACGTAAATATTGTAACAGAGCTTTCCCAGCTTTTAAGGGTTCACATGAAATAAGGGGTGGTATGCAATGAGGCTCGCTTAATGTACCGGCTTGCGGTTTGTGGGAAACCCACTCGAACAAACTGGTTTGTCCCGCGTGCAAATAATGTCCAAGTAATACTCTGTCGAGTGTTGTTTTTTATATGGAATCTCACAATCGGGTTAGCTTAGCTGGATTGTGATGTAAATAATCTCTGCGATGCAATATGGGCCTCTTGTACATGGATACTTCCTTGTTGCACTGGCTCGTTACGTCTGTCATTTTGCATTGCTGACACGACAGATTGTGCTTTTTTTGGTGAATCGCGTTCATTTGCCAGTGTAAGCTCCTGGTCCACAGTTTGAGCGAACGAGCTCCGCTTTGGCATTCAGGGTTTCTCTCAAACCCCAATCCTCGTGATTCACTATCGCACGTCTTTTTGAGTTTTGTACCAAGTGTCGTTCGTTCAAATACAAATCCAGAGGTTACAAGCTGCACACGCCTGATGATTGCGAAACATGTTCCACTTGTAATTAGAGAACAGAAGTTCTCAGTATGTGTGTCCCACATGACGCAGAGATAATTGATAATTGAAATTAAGACAGTTTGTATGTAGGTGCGTTACCTGGTGGCACAGTGGTTAGTAAACTGCACAACAAGCCTGGCGACTCATTCGACCACCTTCAGTGACGAACATGTGAACAGGTTTTGGACTTCCCAAGGCCAACTCCGCCTTCTATGTTTCACTAGTGCGGTGTGTAACACATTACCATTGGGGAGACAAATGCGGCCCAGGCGGGGTCCTGGCCACCACCCACCCCTTTGTGTTCCGTGTTGGCCTTCACAGGTGCTCTCTAACAGCACTTGCCCCAACAGTCTGTTAAAGACTATACGGCGGATATTTGTCTTTGTACGTGAAGTGCCATAGCTGATGCAGAAGATAATAGCTCCGTACGTCATGGGATGGGGGTGCGCTACTGGACATTTCTGAAAAAGAGCTTCATAACTCGTCAGATTCCACCAGTCTAAATATTCAAATTTTTAGTAATGGGACACGTGCAAGTAGGTACCAACTGAATTAGTATTTGAATGGCGAAGACACGTGAATGAGATTGTGCACGCAATGTGTGATGAGAATGATGTAAATGCGCCATTTTTGGGCTCCCACCAGACCAGTTATATAGGGCTCTACAGGCTGCAGGGCGCCACAGTTGCGAGATGTCAACTGCCTCGCCTGGTATACAGGAGGTCGTCGGTTCGACCCTGATGCCTGTATATTTTGAGTTTGCATGTCTCTGTCCCCGTGGTTGCGTGGATTTTTCTCCAGGTTCTCTGGGGTTTCCCACCCACATTTAGAAACATGCTTTTAGAGTATTTGGCTGCTATAAATTTTCACATGATAAGCCACTTAGTTGAGCTATCATTTGTGGACATGTTGCTTCTGAAAAAGAGCTATATAGCTCAGTGAGCCTTACATGGTAAAATAAAAGTAGAATAATCGTTTTTAATAGTTTTAGCATTCACACATCCGGCAGAGAAAGCTCTCATGATGATGCCACTGCCATTCAATTCTTCGTATTAACTGCATGAATTCTAGAATATATACTTTATACAAAAGGTTTTTTGTTACTGGCCACTTGGCATATTGGGCCTGTGCCCAGAAACTGTGATATATGTATAATATATACGGTCCTATAGAACTCACGCTTGGAAAAAACCCGAGGTGGAGTTTGCAGCCTGTCCCAAGCCAGGAAGGGGGAGTCGCTGCGGATCACATCACTCGACCTGCTGGCATGGCGCGTGTGAAGTGGCTCCACTCGGCAATGGGCCACTTCAGCCCGTCGTGTTGATGGGGGGGGGGGCTATAGGGGATTGAGCCCCACCCCACCCTGCTCAAGGCTCGGCCCTGCTAAATTCTTATAGTTTAGTCATTGAGCCCCACACAGGGGAAGGTGCTGCCAGGTATATTGCCATTAGGAGCCCTGTTGGCATCTTCCAATCACCATTGTTTTCTGTACCCCTCGAGTTTTTATATACCCTCCCCCCCACCCAACCCCCCCTTAAACAACATCACGCTACAGGGTTCCTTTTGGTTCAATCGCTGCACTGGATTGTCTGGCTTGTAATGTTTTGACACAGTACCGGGCAGGTTTTAAAATGACCCCTCCATGTCCATATAGTGAACAAACATTTTTTAGGTTGACCTCTTCCTGAAATGTCACGTCTGATGTCTTTTACAACGTAAAAATAAACTTCGGCGTGTATATTTTAATTGGTGTTATGTGTCAATCCGTCTGTACGAGATGCCGGCCTAATAATTAGCGGATTCTGATGTCGTGATACATGACATTTATTTTTGCGTAACGCGAAATGCGTGCGAGCGTCTAACAAGCCATTCTGGGTGGTTTGAAAAACAGTTATGGTCACGAAATACCGCCGATTATATACCGTGCATATACATTTCTTTTCAGGCCGCATGTTATTGATGAATGTGTTGCGTAGTAGTTTTTTTTGTCAACTGTTACTGCATCATTGGTAACATAGCAGCATCACCAAGAAGACAGCTGTGTAACCTCTGGAAGATGACCGCCTCTCAGAAACGAGGTGTATTCTGCCCTCTCTTTTCCTCCTGCTCTGAAACTGTGTGATGCGTTGATGTGCGATGAAAAGGGTCATTGCCCAAAACGTCAGCTATTTTACGCATAGAATTTTTCTCCCATTTTGAGGCCACAGTGTGATCGACTGTTGAGGTTGTTCTGGCTGCGAATCGATGAATTGCGCGGAAAAAACGGGGCAACGAACGACCGCGTGGAGCTGGCTCACATTTCACTGGCTTGCCCAGCTTGGCGTGGCACTGCTGAACAGTACAGTACGTCACAGGTTGCCTCATTTCCACGGCCGCTCGGAACCGTGCTAGAGCAGTGGCGGAGTGCATTTGGCACGGGCCCTGGTTCCAAGAAATACAACAGTGGTGGGAGGGGGGGTGCTCTCTCGCTGTCTTTCCCCCTCTGTACAGCCCGGCACCTGGGCTCAACCGGCCTCTGTGGGCCCCGGTGCAGCTGTTGCGCCGCCTGCACGCTCAAGATCTGTGTTAGAGCCAAGCCAGCATCCATTGACACGGCAGCGGCCCGCTCTGATTACACTGTGTAGCACGATTTTTGTTCCTGGGTAGTAAGTGTTATTTTCTAATTGCTTATGCCTCAAAAGTATAGCACATGGCTATTATTCTCCAAAAACTTTGCTTTTGTGACCAGGACTTTACGTGAAGGAATGACACAAATGCACACCACGTTTTCTCATTGAAAATAGGTGAGTTTCAAAATATCACTGTCCTGGTCACAAAAGCAAAGTTTGTGGGGAATAAAAATAGCCATTTTCTGTACTTTTGAGGCATAAGCAATTGGAAAATAACACTTACTACCCAAGAACAAAATTAAATATTTTTTTGTTACACAGTTGAACTTCTTTCTGATTTAGAACCGGTCGCGGTTGGTTCTCGAGTGTGGTCGAGCCAACCTTGGGAAGGGTGCGGCCCGCTTTTGGCCGGGCCCACGCCAGAACCGGTGGCGAGGTCACGGGGGATTGCTTCCGTAATCTTTTTTACTATTAATTTTTTTTTTTACCAGGTAAGGCCCACTGATCTATAGAGCTATTTTTCAGAAGCGACCTGGCTATCACCAATGATAGCGCGAATGAAGTGGCTTATGTGTAAATGTATGGCAGCCAAATAATATCACAGCCTTCTGATTGTTGCTCACCCACCCGGCCAAAATAACGCAATTAAAGGCTTCCCCGCTCCTTATGGGGGTTTAACCATAATTCACCTTGATAGTGTGAGTTGAAGTGGGAGGTAACATTGATTCAGATAACACTCGCCACTGTTTGCCTCGGCTGAGAATTGAACTCGTATTGCTGGGTGTGTAGAGGAGTGTGCTGAATTCACTACCCGCTGCGCCAACGGTCCACATTTCTCAGAATTTATCAAATGTCTAAAATGTATTCCAGATTTGCAGCTTTCGTGACTGCAATAACTGTACAGTTATTTTGCTGTGCCCCTTTTTTACACCTGCTGAAGGAAGCTTGTATTGCCTCCGAAACGTCGTGATTTAATTTAGTTGTTTTTCATTTATTTTATTTTTTACCTACGTGACTACCGAAAAAAACAAAGAGTATGTCTAAAATGTATTTCTGATCTATTATATTTTCAACGATGAATCACATTTCAACATTCTGGTCCTTCCAGAACATCATTAGAATTGACATCGGTCACTCACGGCCTGCTGTGTATCTTATTGAGTACGACTACTGAAAAAGAGACATACACATGCATGGCAAGTGGCTATATATTTGGCAAAATACACGTATACAGGAAGAAGCTAAACCGTACACGATCTCGTTGGAATACATCTGCTGTAATCTATGCCACATGCGCACACAAGAGACGTTAAATCTACAGGACATGAGAAGACTCCCATGGGGGTGGGGTTGGCAGGTGCGGTTTCTCCGGGCGCTCCTTCAGTTCCCTCTCGCATTCAGGGCCATAGAGCTCGGGCAATTGTTGGCAGCCAGCTGCCTTCCGCGTTCGTCTGTTGTTTTCCGCGCGCTACGAATCACTCGCGGTCTCTTTTTGAGAGCGAAGGAACCATGCACAAGCTGCATATTCCAAATGATTATTACTATCGCAACATATCACTATCCACCACAAAGCCCATGCCGAGAGCTTAGCCGAGCTACAAATAC